ATTGTTCAGTGTCACCCGAAAACTCAAGTCTTTACATAAATATGAAGAATATGATAGAATTTTTAATGAATGGATGGAGGAGGGTGTAATTGAAATAGTACCAGACAATGAACTGAATTATAAAGGGGCACTATTTACCGCATCACCCAGTATTTAAACCAGACAGTGTCTCAACTAAGATAAGACCTGTTTTTGACGCATCATGTAAAGTTAATAGATCGCCCTCCCTTAATGATTACTTAGTAAAAGGACCAAATTTAATAGAAGAAATCCCTTCAATTTTGTTAAGATTTAGAGAAAAATGCATTGGCGTAACCTCTGATATCCGGCGTGCATTTTTACAGATTGAATTACGGAAAGAAGATAGGGATTTTTTAAGATTTTTATGGTGGGAGAAAGATAATGTACTGAATTTTTTCCGCCGTACGAGGGTAGTTTTTGGAGTAAAGTCTAGCCCTTTTCTATTAGGAGCAGTTATTTCAGTTCATTTGGCACAAGTACCAAAGGAACAAAGTTCTATTGCTCAGAAATTAAATAAATCCTTTTATATTGATAATTGTGTGACTTCTGTTGATAACGAAAAGGAGCTTGTGAATTTTGTGAAATCTTCTACTGAAATATTAGCTGAAGCAAAAATGGACTTACGTATGTGGACCTATGGTAGAAAAAGATGTGGAACTAACCCAAAGTACTTTTGTGCACTGAGTCCACAATGGAGAATTCTGTACCAGTTTAAAGGAATTATGTGGGACAGAATAGAAGATAACCTTTATATTGAAATTAAGACTGTATTGGTTTCGGATAATTTGTCTAAAAGAGAGGTTTTGTCAGTAACGCAGACAATGTTTGATCCTTTGGGTTTCTTGACACCTGTTTTATTGCCTGCAAAGTTACTGCTACAGGAAATTTGGGCGATAAAAGCAGACTGGGATACTCCATTACCAGATAGTATCAAAAGTAAATTTTCGAGGTGGTATAATAAATTACAAATTTTGAATAAGTTGAGAATACCGCGACGTATAGGTTTTGGAGATAGAAGTTCCTGGACACTTCATGTATTTTGTGATGCTAGCCAGCATGCTTATGCCACGGTAATATTTTTGAGATGCGAAACTAAAGAAGAAACATTAGTCAGTTTTGTAATGGCTAAGTCAAGAGTCGCACCCTTAAAAGAACTTACTATTCCCCGTCTAGAACTTATGGCCTGTCTTTGGGCATGTGCGTCTTTCCAAATATGTGACAGAAGCTCTTACATTGGATGACATCCCGAAAATATTTTTGGACCGATTCCACCACGGCCATATCTTGGATTCAAAGAAATGATGCGTGGGGGAACTTTTGTGGGCAATCGCGTGAAGGAAATTTGCGCTTTCACTAAAGCAAATCAGTGGTCATATGTACCGGGTCATTCTAACCCAGCTGATTTACCTTCTCGTGGTTGTTCCCCTCTTCAGTTTTCCGAATTAAATTGGTGGAGAGGGCCTGTTTGGCTCAAAGGACCCTAGAGATAGCTGGAGATAGCTGGCCAAAATTAGAGGTTAAGCCAAATGAAACTTTAGTTTTTTTTCAGAGCGCAGGAAAGGCATAAATTTAAATGTAAATCTTAGTATAACTACAAAAGCGGATAAAGTTAAGTGGTGTGAGAAGTTCTCTAAATTTTCAAAAATGTTAAGAGTTTTAGGTTGGATAAAGAGATTTATCAAAAATTGTCAAAAGAAAATTGTAAATAAAGAGCCTTTTCTGTCTGCTTCCGAGATACAGGAATCTAAAATTATACTTCTTTCACTTGTTCAGGGGGAGAGTTTTCCAGAGACTGGAGACTCCATCAATGGTCTTTTGACCGTACGAGATCAGAGTGGCTTAAGAAGAGTAAAAACGAAAATCACCGAACGAGATGATTCTTATGCATTCCGGTACCCGACCCGATTTTATTACCTTCTAAGCATTAGTATATTGTTGACTGTTTAATTAGAGATTACCATTTAAAGCATTCTCATGCCGGACGTACAAGCATTAACTGTTATAATTAGAGAAGAATTCTGGATCATTGGTGCAAGACGCCGAATTAGATCGGTGGTGAAACAGTGCGTCCGTTGTAAACGATTTTCAGCAAAACCTCCAACTACTGCACCCATTCAATTACCATTAGACAGAGTTCGAGATGCTTTCGCATTTGAAGTTACCGGCATAGATTTATGTGGCCCTCTGATTCTCAAAAATAAAAACAAAGCCTGGGTAGTACTGTTTACATGTGCTGTATATCGATGTGTACATTTGGAGCTAGTGACATCCGTAAGTACCGAATGCTTCATTCAAGCGTTTCGTCGGTTCATAGCCAGAAGAGGTCGGCCATCTACAGTTTACTCAGACAACGGCACAAATTTCGTCGGTACATCTGCATTGCTGAAAAAAGGTTGACTGGGTAAAGGTAATTGCTCAGGAAACTTTGCATCCCATCACTTGGAAGTTCATTCCGCCCACTGCTGCTTGGTGGGGCGGATGATGGGAGCGTCTAATCCGCACAACCAAGAATTTGATTGTGAGAGTCTTAGGACAAGCTGCAGTCAATTACGAAGAGTTACTCACCGTCATCTGTGATGTGGAAGCCGTAATAAACTGTCGACCACTTACTTATGCGTCAAATGACTCTGAGGATCTTCTACCATTAACGCCTTCCATGTTCTTACAGGACATTAAGGTTTCAGGTACAGCAGATTTGGATACTTTAGATCGAAATAAACTCTTGGCTCGTCAGCGTTTTTGCCAAGAACTTTGAGAACAATTTCGTAGCCGTTTCCGCAAGGAGTACCTTGGACAGTTAGTACAAAAGCATGGACAGAAGGACTGTGAATTAAAAGTTGGAGACATCGTGCTAATAGGTTGTGAGAACCTTAAAAGAGTGAACTGGCCAATCGCTCGTGTCCAAGAACTTTGTACAAGCAGAGATGGACGTGTAAGAGTTGTAAAAGTGAAAACTAGAAATGGCATACTGATTCGTCCTGTACGTAAACTGTACCCTCTAGAAGTGTGTTCCTGTACTAAGGATACCATTATTTGATTTTTGATTTTGCTTCTGAAAATCAAAAAGGTGGGAGTGTTGTGAAACTGATTAGTTGTATCTTACAAATATTAAAAACAAATCTCTTCATTTTGATGTACGAGACACAGATGGCGTTGGCTGTCATTGAAGTAGGAAGAGAAAAAGGTTTTTCCCTTTCGACCTCGGACGTGACCGATTAAGTGTGTAATAACTTTAGGGCCAGAAAAATTTCCCGAAATTGTTAAAAATGTATATTTTGTAGTGTAGATAGAATATAATTAGATAAATCAACTTCTTAGAGTTTTTATTCCGATTCAACATCACACTACCCAGGTAAGTAAGCAAGTTTTGTCTTTAGTTTTTCTGGATTGCTCGGTATCTGGGATGAGTGGAGGAAGTATTTTTATTTTAATGATATTTAATGATAAGACTATGTTTTAGTAATAACACAGAACAAAATACTGTGTGTTCTAAAAATTGAATACATACTTTAAAGGATTGTAAAGTTAGTTCTTATTTATATACTGCTTATTTTCAAAATTTAAAAGAATGTATATAGGGGGAAAAAAATGATTGTTAGTGTCTGTTTTAAATGTTATCAGTTCCATAATCCAAACATTCATGCTTAGAAATATGTGTTCTTTGTATATCTTTCTGAGTATCACATAAAAAACTGCGATCTTTGGTGCAGATTATTTTTGTAAAGAGCATGGAATATGCTTAGAATGTAAGTTTTTCTGATGGCCATTCTTCAAAATGCAGCAAACACATGATTTTAAAATTCCTATTTTACCTTACCTGGTTTGCTTTACAGATTTCTTCCGTTTTGATAATATATTTCCATTAACTTTTCTTGCCTTGTGTAGCTCATTGATGTCCATGGTCTTTGGGATTATTTCTGTGAGCATTTCAGATAGTACCTTCTGCTTAAAATTTATTTCTAATTCAAATGATTGTGAGTTACATAGGTGCATATGTTAAATGCAGTCTTCTAAACTTTCTGTGTCAACTGTGTTTTCAAATCTTGGGTAGCACATAAGGATACATTTCATTTAAAACTTGGTATCTTTTCATTATTTCAGACTAGGTAAACTTGAAAAGTGGAATTGTTGAAAGAATTAGCAGCTGTTAAAGTTTGTACTGTTTTTCTTGTACACCATGCATTCTGTGTGCTTCATGCTGTATAGATACATCATGAATGTCATCACTGTATTTATCAACTGGCATTATCCATTTATTAAATTTTGAATGTTTCATCTAATATTTTGGGTGATGAAATTTCTTTTTAGGTGATGAATGAATTTGTCTCACATGTATCCTGTAATATATTCAGTAGTTTTAATTTTTTGAAGAAAATACATTTATTTCAATTTATAAATTCTCTTGATTGTATTAATGTTACACAGTAATTAACTCTGGATTTTCCTTAGAATATGCACTATAATTTTGAAAATACATTTCAAATTTTAATTTGAGTACAAAGTTCTGTATATATCCTGGCATTCTTTCACGTATCTGTATCATTGGCCTTTATAACCTTTATACCTAAGGCCGCATGGAGATCATCTAGCAAGTGTGCTTTCATGTCATTTTCATAATCTATTAGCTAGGTGGTACCTGCAGTTGCTAAATGTATGTTTAGCCTTCAAGCTTAACAGAATCCAGTTTTCTAAAAGTATCAAAAAGAGCTAACGAACTATTTTAACCAGGTACCACTTATGAAGTCCACAATTTCAAATGTTTTGAAAAAATTTGAAATTTTGTTAGTCTATTTTTGAGCATTCAGCTAATTTTGCAGAAAATAATTCCAGTTTACCCTATTACAGTTATCGAATTTAGATTTATAAGAAGTTAGAAAAGCAAAATGAGTTTGAGTTATAACTTTATAAACTGTGTAATAATTATAAAACTTTCATAATTTGTTACTTTTGCTCAGCATATCCCAAAGGTTGCTTGCTTTTAATTTTTTAAGCAAAAGATTTTATAATTTTTTAATTTCAGTCAATAAATTTTTATTGCAGGTAGCTTTTACTTACCATATGGAGATGGCCCTCGAATTATGTCAATATTTGAACTTCTAGATTATATCGTGAATGAGGTAGGAATTCTTTTATTATTTCACAAAAATTTCATATGAAACTGTTTTTAATTATAGGATAAGGATTTGATGTATACTTTTATCTTCCTCTGTTTTTCTGTGACATGCAATTGGCTAAATTGCTTGATTTATGTGATGTTTCTCTTTAATTTAATAACAACGCTAAATCATTACAGTTTAGTGGTTTACTCATTTTTAGATCCTTCTGACATAATAGTTCAAATTTCAAAAGCTAGATTATTATAAAAGGTATAACTATATTGTAGTCCTCATGAAAGAGAGAATATTGCATAAAATGCAGGCATAGGCATACAAATGATGAACTGAAGGTATGAGAATTATATTTGATGACATAAACTTTTGGTAGAATGATTAGTTTTAAATTCAGAACAGTATTGTTCTGTAAAAGCAAAAATTGAATTTAAAGCTAAATCATTTGTTGAATGGTGAAGACTTTTTTACCTTTTCTCTCTTGATAAAAACTTGTAAAATTTATTTCTTCTAGCATTAATACTTTTTTGGTTCCTTTTAAATTCTGCACAATGAAATATATTATTATTGTTATTGTTGCAGATTCATTAAATTATTCCAAAATTAAGCAAAAAAAGTCAAGATCCTGTAGAAAATGCTTATGTATATTTGAAAGGTTCTAATTATTATTAGCTGGTCAAAGTAATCTAGAATTATAAATTGGTGCATTCATTTAACATTCTTTAATGACATATCCTTAAGTGGCTAGTCTAGCTTGAGGAAATTGAAACAATCTTTTCCATGTACACTTAGCTTTTGTATGCCTAAATTTTATAAATATATATGAAATGGCATTTGTTTGGGTCTTATCCCAAATAACCCACACTATAATAAGTACGCTAGTTCATTACTTTATTAAATCCTGTAATTAAATTACAATCACTCCTGTTCATAAAAAACTCCTGCTTCCAACAGCATATCTACCCTTTCTGGAACATTAAATTCTTCGTCTGCTAATTTTAAATTAGGAAGATCTTGCACTGAAATTTTTATTTTGCATGAAGGTGTTAAATCAGCAGTTATTTTTGGAATTACTAAAAAGTCCAAATTCTTTATAAAAGTTCCTTCTTTATTGCATATCGAAGCATTAATTTTATGCTTTATTGTCAAAGAAGCATCATTTATTCCCAAAACTGAAATGTTTGTTTTTTCTTTCTCTAACTGCAAATGCTCAATAAAATTATGTGTAAAAAAATTTGACATACTACCGCCATCCAGCAGACACTTCACTGTGTGTTTTCTTCTCTCATTATCAATGCATTAACGTTCAAGGTCGATGAGAGATCTCGTTTGGGAATGTTGCAGTCAGATACATTTGTTTTTATTTTGTTCCAATGAAGAGGATTCTTTCTCCTTTACGATATTTACTTTTGGAAAATGAATAGTTTTGTGGTGCCGTTTTTGACAAAAACAAGAATATTTCGATGGGCAATTTGATACTGAATGCATATGTAGACAGTTAAAACATAATTTGTTAGATTTCACAACCTGTACTCTTTCTTGTACCGTAATTTTAAATTCGATGGGCATTTTGCCAAACCGTGATTTCCATGGCATAAAATACAGTTCTCTGTTTTAACATCTGACAAAAACACTTTAGCTACACTTTTTGAGCTGTTATACTTATGATTAACATGAGAATTCTCAATAAGAGGTTTTGATCATGACGTGAAATATAAATCGATTTCTTTACCTAACTCACTAGGTGAAAACCATGAATCACCTTGCCTCTTGCCTCACTGAAATCTGAGAAACTGTTTCCATATCCAAAGATTGGTATAATGTGTCTGAAACTATGAGTTGTTTGAGGGTTTCAAAGTCAGTTAGCTTCCTTAATTTTAAATAAAACCCCCAGGTAGTTACTAGGTGTGAAGCGAACTGCGCATGAGTTTCATGTGGTTATTTAACAGTTTTTCTAAAGTTTTCTAAACACGAATATGGTGTTGGCTGAAACTCCTTCAGAACTACTTCTTTTACTTTTTCATAATTTGCAATATCCTTATCATGTAAATAGGTTATTATATTCGAAGCTTTGTCTCCTAACATATTTAACAGAAGTTCTGCTTTATAGTCCTCCGAAACATTTTTTGTAATAAACGCTCGTTCTAATGATTAAAAGAAAAATCTCCAACTCTCCGGCTGTATAGGAATTTTTACAGTTAAGGTCCTGACACTTTTTATTAATTGATCTAGTGACTCTGATTTCATTTTGGTTTTGCTTACACCATTAAGTTTTGTTTCTGCTTTAAGCTTAGCCAACTCTAACTCATTCTTTGATCTCTCAAGTTTTATTTTGTTCTAACTCGATACGTTTTTGCTGTTTTTGCTCTTCTTGTTTCATATTTTCGATAATAGAGTTTTGCTATCTCTTTTACCAAATCTTGTTTAATTTTAAAAATTTCACTATTCTAAATAATATCAGTTAAATCTGCTATAGTCATTTTTTCGTCAACATTTAGATTTATTTCTAAGGCAATAAGCCTTAAATCTTCTTTTTTAGCGCCCTTAAATAATATTGTTATTTATAACAGAACAAAGCACAGAATGTACAGAATTAACAAGAGAGGAATCACAAACCTCTGCAGTGATTTACTTTTTGATGAATGTCCTTATCCAAAATAAGCGATATTCGTTGTAAAGAACAAGCTGGGAATACTGGCAAACACAAACACTCCTGCGTTCTCAAAAACGAAACACTATGCATTCATGCACAAAACTCAATCTCCGGTGACTACGACCAGATATGTTTGGGTCTCATTCCAAATAACCCACACTATAATAAGTATGCTGGTTCGTTACTTTATTAATTCCCATAATTAAATTGCAATCAGTATTAACTCATAGTTGTGACCAGTCCTCATACACCGACGATGGCAATTCTCAAACTCGTCTGATCAGAACATTACAGATGCGCATGCATGGATTACATTACAGGTGCGCAGGCATGAACAGCATTATTCATTTCTAAATAGTAGATTTCACATTTAGTCAACATTTTATTGCTTTTAACATTTTTTTTTCAGAATTTTTTTCTAACCTCACATCATATTTAAAGGCATTTAATTTCCGTTTAATAGCAGTAAATGCTTTGTTCTTATCTGCATTTTCCTTTTACCTGTTTTATAAATTTACCTTTAAAAAAAAAAAAAAAAATTTTTTTTCAGCTTTTAATTACACTACTGTCATATTTTACTACAATAGCACTATAATCAGCTTAAATTTCCCAGTTTATTTTCTTTTCCTAGATGATATAAAAAGCTCTTTCAATATATGATAGATATTTATATGATTTCCACTCCCCCCCCCTGTAAATTGCTAAAATCTAGTCCAATTTGATAGTCTGAAATTTTTTTTTTTTTTTTTTTTTTATTGCTCCATTTATTTTTAGTTTGTCGAAGTTTGATTATGTGTGTATGCATGTGCATGTCCCCCTGTAAATTGCTAAAATCTAGTCCAATTTGATAGTCTGAAATTTTTTTTTTTTTTTTTTTTTTTATTGCTCCATTTATTTTCAATTTGTTGAAGTTTGATTATGTGTGTATGCATGTGCATGTATGGTAAAGCAGCATACAAATGAATATGTACAGAGTGGCCAGAAAGTCCCTTGACTTGTGCAAATATTTCATTGTAACTTTGTAACACGTACAATTCATTGTTACACTTTTTGTCCAAAACATCAGTATGTTCGCCACCATTACCCCTGCATAGCACGTGTCTGAATGTCTTCCTACTCATCTGCTTTAGCAGCTGCAGTATCAGATGCTGGAAGGTTTCAAGTGTTGCCTAACTGGTATAGTGGTTAACCTCACTGAGTGCTGTGCCCAAGGGCCCGGGTTCGAATCCCGGAGAAGGTATAGATGTTTGTAAATGTAATAGTGTTGGTGCGGGACTCTAAATATGTGCTGAATTGAAAGTCGTCTCAATTAATTTGGTTGATGGGGAGAGGGATGGCAAACCTAGACCCATTCTCCAGGGTGCTTTCCATGAAAATTAGGCCCGGAAGAGCTAAATCGCACTGTCATCTGTATTGTGCTCAAGGCTGTTGCCAACGACAGGCATAATCTTGTGCTCTTTACCACGAGGAATTCCATGGGCTTGGGATGACTGTGTCAGACAAGGGAGCATAAGTAACAATAACAACAAAAAGTTCAAGCACACATGCTCACAAAGCATTATTGTCCACATACCATTTCTTTCTGATGTATGGTTTAGTGTTGCTCCAGAAAGTACCATTAGATCCAGACTAAGCTAAAGAGCTAAAGCAGATTAAGCAAGGCAGGTAAAGATAAGGTGCTGTTGAATTTGGGGATCCACATCCTATCCATGAGCCAGGGAATGGTTCTTTCAAGTGTTCACGGACAGGAAATGTGAAGTGGGCGGAAGCTCTATCATGTTATTAAACAACCTAGTTGTTGATGCCCAAATTCTGCAACAGTGGAAGAAGCTGGTCATTCAGCATTTCTAGATAAATAACTTGAGTCATGGAACCCTCAAAGAAGTATGAACCAAAGATGTGTTCTTCAGTCATCCCTGCCCAAAGTCTGATGTGCAGAGGATTGTTCTAAATTTCTTGGATAAAAAATGTGGATTTTCCTTTACCCATATGAAGATGTTCGTATTCAGGGAATGTCAATAAATAGCACATTTGTCAGAGAAAAGAATGCACTCCTGAGCAGAAATGGTGGGAAAGACCTCCATCAAGATCCTGCCTTCTCTCAGCAGTTTAAGTTACCATCCATTAATTAATTAATGACCATTGACAGAAATGCTTGCAGGCCTTGTGCTTCATTTAATTTCAAGTTTTATGCCATGCTTTCTACTTGACTTGCAAGTTGATGCATCACTGACACACTAACTGCAATAGGCTTTCCTTCAAGTTTCCCAGCCGTAAAGCTTTCTTCGCCCACGTGATTAAAGTCTGAAGACTTCGTGACTGCTTACTGAAACCTATCCATCACCTATGTCATAGTTTTGTTGCTGTACTTCCATTCATTTACCCACACATTTGTCACTAAGCACTCCTGGTGTCAGCCAGCTAAAGTCATTGGTGTCTGTCATTGTTCTTCACTAGTCATAGGAAGACAAGACAATGAACTTGCCAACACACAAACTGTATTCTCCTCTCTGGGCAGTCATGCATCAGTCAAACTGAAATTTATATAAGAAGCACTGTTGCTGTATCTGTGATCAAGATGGGAGGTTAAAATTTTAACCTTCACTGTTATATGATGTTACACTGTTTCCTAATGCAATGAGTTCAGGTGTAAAGGGACTTTCTGGCTACATTGTACATTGATAATGAAAATTATTTTGGTACATGTGAAATCTTGAAATATAATTAAAATAAAAATTTAAATTCATTAAACTCATATTATATTAAAAAAAGTATAACATAAATTAATAATGGCATAAAATCTTATGGCTGTGATGGAGAATCAGGCGGATATCGTCTTGGAAGCGGGTATATATCCTCTTGGAAGCGGTAATGCAAATTAATGTTTCCATTTGCATTTGTAATATTTTCCTGTACTTTCAGCAGCAGAAATATATGAGACTATTAATGTGAACACTAAAGTAGTCTTATGAATATTTATTTTAATGTTTTAAAGGATGAAGTTATTAAATGTTTCAAAACATACCTGTAGAATACAAATGTAAATCGGAAACAATCTTATTTCACATTGTTCCAGATATTTACATATTATTTTATTGCACTTGCATGAAAGTTTTTGATTATCAAATTATGAAAATTGAAGCAGATGGTGCTAAAGTCATGTAAGTTGTTCCTGCAGAATTCTGAGCACACTTGTGTCTGGAACTCTTACAGTGTTTCTCCATAGTCCACCAAACAGCCAATGCTGTGGAGGTATTCAACCCTCTTCATTTTTGAACTTCTTAAAAAAGCTTTTGGTGATTTCTACTATTTCATTAGGCTGTTTGATTTTAATGAAAGCTCTACTTAGAACACTTTGAGTACAAACTTCCCACAGGTGATTGTTCTAATCTATTACTGTTTTGTTGGCCATGTGCAGCTATTCTTTTCAATGGATCTGCAAATAATTCTTCTAGCCAGCTGTAAATGAATTAGAGTGTAGTTACAAATATGATTCTACAATTCTAAAATTCCTTTTTTCTCCAAAAATTCAAGGCAAAAATATAATAATAACAGTTAGTTTATATCCTTATTCATAAAAACAAAAAATAGCCTATTGAGAATCAGTTGGGGTTACACCAAATAAAAGTGAAAATGTTGGGAATGTGTTGTGACATCATGTTAATCTGTAATTGGAGCTAAATTGCACTGCTTGGTGACAAGACAGTTGATGTGATAATACAGAAGTATCTCAAATTTTCATTCAAAAGGTACATTTTTAAATACCACAAATAGCGCTGTGTTTGAGCTAACTAACTCGAAAGTCACTGGCATGGAAAATATTCATTATATTATAGGATGCCATGCATGGTCTGAAGGTCTGGAAGCATGGCCTCCATGACATGAAAGTAACTTCACCATGTCATGCAGTTATATCTAATTCCGTTTCACCAAGATAAAAATGCAAAGAAAATAATTTAAGCATCACTTGAAAAGCAAGATATATGTCAAGTTTTTCAAGCTATAGCTATTTAAAGAGGAAAATTAACATTAATTTTTCATAAATCTTATTTTTGGAAAATTTTCTATTTAACTGAATCAAAATTTCAAATTATCAAACTTCTGCTGTATACTATAAAAAATACAATTTATATGTACTTTTTTTTTTTAGCCTCCACCTTCTGTACCAGCTAGTGTCTTTTCCCCTGAATTTAAAGATCTCGTGGACAGATGGTAAATTTAAGACATAGCACTATCTATAAATATGATTATTTTGATTATGAAAATGTATTGAATATAAATTATTGAGCATATGTATGCATGTCTTACAAAGTAGATGATTGATTTCATTAAATGTAAATAAGTGATTATAAAATTGAGTAATAAAATTGAGTGGATAAAAATTATTTTTCAAAGTTCTGGGGATTTTCCTTTAACAGTTGTTGAATTTTCATTTTAATTTGTTCATAATGTCAAATTTTCATTTTAACAACATATCCACGGGGAAAACTCTACAGACTTAGCATTACTGCATAGTTATTTTAAATTCTGTTCAGAATTTTATTTCTCCCATTGAAAATTTGTCTTTTACATATAGATTATGAATAAATGGCATACTAATAAATGTTTACTGCTAAACTGTTATTTTTTTGTTGGGATTGAAAACACCATGCAGTTTATTTAATAAAACCTTGTATATATTTTCATTTTAACAATAAATTTTTAAAATGATGCTTATTATCTTCTTTACCGACACTAAATTTTGATGAGTGTATCAGCTTATGAATACTTATGATGTATAAGGTTAGTCAAAGAGGAATATTCAGTCTACTGGAGCTTGGTAATGATAAGCACTAGAGAAATGAAATTTTGTAGGTACTATCTTTGATCCTTTGAAAATGTCACTCCATATATGATATGACATGAATGCATGCCCATTCCTTTGATTACCTTTTACTCTGAGAATCAGAAAGAAACAACTAAATTTCCTTATATGTTATGACTTCATGAAAGTATTCTGGACAACGTCCAGAGGAACTTTTCAGAAAATCATCACAAACATTTTCCTAAGTTGCATCCTTTCCCTTGTCAAGTGCTGTGTAACCAACGAGCACAAATTTTTCTATATCCCAATCATTAGATTAACATTAATAAAGATATTTTTGCTATGCTTTTACTCCATGAACTGTCTTATGGTAATGCATCTGCCATTTAGGATGAATTCCTCAATTACTCATGCATTTTTATTATTTGTGATAATTGCCTGGTCTACCTGATCATAGCTTGTCTTGGATGTTGCAATCTTTATGCCCAGATCTTTGAAGCCATTGACACACATTATTTCGATTCATTATGTTGTTCCCATAGACTGGTAACAACTTACCATGAATTGATGTTGCTGGGTTATTCCCAAGTTTGTAGAGAAATTTGATGACTGCATGTTGATGTAATTGGGTGTCACATTGATCATTCATCGTGGCTTACTTCCAACAACAGGAAATAAGATTTATGCATAGGTTAGGTGATAAAGAGTATATGCTCTTACCTACAACATTTCATTTATCTAGTGCTTACCAATATTGAATCCAATAAGCACTAGATAAATGAAATTTTGTTGGTAGAAGTGGATTATACATTTTTTTTACCAACCTTTGTATATCGTAGTTATGATGCAACTAATCCATCGTACAATGACGGTGAATTGTCAAATAAATAACAATATAGAAATTCATAAATTTTAATATTAATGACAATTAAAAAAATCTGAATGGCTTCAGATTTTAAATTATGTTTAAAGGGGCGTTTTTTTAACGTTTTGTGTGTTATCTTTATTTACTAAATATCATGTTTTACATACTCAAACTATAAAATTCAAGTTCAACAGCAATATCGCAAATTAATCTTAAAATGAGCATATCTTTAGAATTTCCGATACAGAGTCTTGCACGCTGCAGATAAAAATGTTATTTTCTTTCATACAGTGTTGCCATTGTTCGCTTTGAAATCATTTAGCTTTTTAATAAAAAATTTGTTGAAGTGTTACAAAATATGAAATCGATAATAAAACAAATTTCAAATTCAAATCGGTCTTCCACATGCCCATACTCTATGGAATATTACACTATTCAAATTTTGATGGCTCTAGGTACCATTGCTTTATCACAATGCAAGAAACTTACATATATTTATGCAGATTCTTCATTATTGAATTTCTTTAATGTAAGACAGCGCAATAATATACGGTGGCAACAGTTTGAAAAGTGATGCGGGCTTTTAAAATTTTTGATGCAAAATGCCAAAATGAAATTAATAGTTCTTCAGGGCAAAATTGCCCCTTTGGACTAATAATTCTTTAAAGGCATTATGAATATTTTTATGTACATATGTGAAGATTAATTTTTATAAATGTAATGTTTTGTTTATACAGTTTAAAGAAAAATCCAGCTGAGAGAGCAGATCTCAAGTTTCTAACTGTAAGTTACCAGTTTTATTTATATTTCCTGTATTATTTTATTCTAAGCTTTGTTGTTGTTTTGATGGTTTTTAATTTTGAAGAAGTATCGAATTTCACACAATTAATATATTTAATTTATTTAGTAAATATGCAAAATAAAATAATTCATCAATAATTTATATACACATTTATATTAAGAACAAGCATAAAACCTTAATATGGAATAAAAGAAGAAATTATCTGGAAAGGTAAATTTAGAACTAATTATGAGAAGATACTAAGGATGGGAACATACAAATAATATAAATGATGGACTGAAATTCATGAAAATTGAAATTCATCTTGTTCTGTAAGGTAATAATAAAATTTATTTATCTAAGTAACTGTGTAGCCTTTGAAAATTAAAAAAAATTAATAGCTCTTTTTTCTTTTTGCATGTAATATTTCAGTGAAGTAACATTCAGTGACATTCCATTTGGGTACATAATTTAGCTTGCAGAAGTGCTTAAAGTGGGTTTTGTTGTATGTAATTTTCTTTGAAGGAAGCTTGATACACATATATTTTGTTTTTATATTCTGCTTTTTGGAATATTCATTAAGTCAATTACTAATTTTTTTTTTTTTTTTTTAATGACGACAAGTTGAAACATCTGCAACATTATGATATCACATATTTGGATTTCGAATTATTCTTAAGTATTATTGCTATTATCATTAAAATAAATAGTATATTAATATTATCTGTCGAAAAAAATAAAATATATGCTTAGTGTGTTCCACATAGACTATCAAGATTTGGTTGTATGTATCATACTTTATCTGTATCATAATCTTTAAGTTTTAATTTATCTTATGACATTGAGAATGGAAGCTAAATTTTTGTATGTATCATAATTGTATGTATGTATCATAATCTTTAAGTCATTAATCACATTTGTATGTATGTATCATAATCTTTAAGTTTTAATTTATCTTATGACATTGAGAATGGAAACTAAATTTTTGTTTCTGTGTAGAGCTTTTCTCTTTAACATAAAATATTTATTTAAAGTTAAAAATTTAAGATATCACTTCATGGAGTTTTGCCTCATACTTATGTATTCTGGTGTAGTGATTGTGAAATGCAGCATTAGGTGGCTTTAAAAAGTCAAAGTTTGCTGCAAGGTTTTTATATTTGCATTCTGCATTATTCAAATAATGGTTTCAAAAGTTGTTCGACTTAAAAGTAAACTTTAAGTAATAATAGAACCCAGTAGTTCAGATGCTGGGGTGTTTTAGGCATATTCTTCTGGAAATTTGCCAGGAAGATTTCAGTTCTTTATAGAAAAATATTTGGATACTGCATCTGCTTGTGTTTTAGTACTTAGCAGAAGAAACTGTTGCTAATGTTTAATGAGAATTTTAGCAGTCGGTGCTTTATGACTAATAATAGAAGGGTGGATGCATGGTCTGTGTAAGTAAATTGGTCTCTTTAAATCACCTGCATTGAAAAAACTTATATTGTGTTGCCAGAACATTTCATTTGGTACTAAATGATTATTACCTAAAATATTTTCATTATTTTGCAACAACTGAGATGGGAATGTATAAGAGTTCTACATTTTTGTTGAAATAATTGCTGACACAGGTTTTTCTAAATCAAGGAAAAAAATCAGGACAACTATGGTTAAACAAAAATATTATATTAAAAAATCGGATGTGTACACCACATGACTGGTATGTTTTATGAAATATTAAATTATGCACATTTTTTCCTGCATATCAATTAACCTTATTTCCTCGAATTTCAATAGACATATATTTCTCATTCAATTCATTTAGTTCTCACTTCGTGGCAAGGCAAAAATACATAAAACCTCAAAATACTTTTATTAGAAATTGCAAAATATAGCAAGATATAAAACATAGAGTTAAAATAATGTAAAGAACAACATCAATTAAAATTAGATTTTCTATGCAAAAACAAGAAGGCAAATTTTTCAGTGCACATAAGGAACTGCCAGTTCGACCTGCTCAGGTTGAACTAGCAGTGTTTAGCAACTTGACTGCTCAGCCATTACTGGGCCTTTAACATTAGGCTAAGTCCATATTATTTTCAGTAAAGCATAATTTAATCTATTGTCACTAATTCAAAATTGTAAAATATTTAGCAGATTTATGCATAGAAAATTTTAAAATGTTAAAATCAAAAACCTTACCTCAGTGTATTACATTTTACAGCACACTTATTCCAATCTTTTTTTGTTTTATAGTACTCTGTTATACACATTTACTTGCAACACATTACTTACTAGTTAGTTTAATTTATTTTTAAACTTAACTTCTGTCACTTTTCTTATAATTTGTCTTTTATCCTCGTAATTTGTTATATAAAATCACATATTTTTTCCTTATTTGACTTCATTCTTTTTTGGATAATTTTTAATACATTTCTTAAATCTTCATATTTTGTATTTTCCGAGCAGCAGACATTCCAATGAATGTGCAGTCTGCTTTTCTATGGCCATTGTAGGAAAACCTCTTAATTATTGTTCATTCATTGAAGATTATAAATAATTTTTATTAGCTTTTTAGCATTCAAATGCTGCATTCAGCTGAAGTTACTGGCATTGGCTGGCAGAAACTAAAATTAACATTTTTTATTAGCTTTTCAGCATTCAAAAGCTGCATTCAGCTGAGGCTGCTGGCATTGACAGTCATGAACCCACATTAACACTGACACATTTTGAAAAATCTATTCCAAATTTTTACTTTCTTGTACAAGTAAAAAGGAAGTATTGTAATTGCGAAAAGTTTCAGGCAGCATATCTCAACAAAAATATCCATTTTCACCGCTATCGAATGCAATTTAACGATGTTTTTTGCGTGATATCTGTATGTAAGGACAGAATAAAATACTCTTTTCCTTCAAAAAAATTATAAAACTGCTTTAAAATTAATTCTGAAGAGAATTTTTCGTGGCGTCTGTAGGAACGTATCTCGCATAACTCAAAAACAAGTAGCCTCAGAACGTTAAAATTTTCTATATAGGACTGCTATAACAGGTAGATGTGCACCTCGTATTTTGGTTGCAATCAGCCGCACCAAACGTATATAAATATATTTATATATATATCCACTCTGTTACCCGGCTCAGTGATCTCAGTTTCTTTACTCTTATATGTTTGTAAATTGTACATTTTTTTGCTTTAAAAATGATTGAATTATGTTGTTTTTATCTTCCAGTTAAGGATTTTATGCCTTTAGTAAATCTGTGTGCAATATTTTTAGAAATATCAGGAATTTTAAAGTTGTTAAATTGCCGCTAAGCCTTTTTTAATGGCGGTCATTGATGTTTACATTTGAAACAGGAGACTAGTTCCCAATCTAGAGAACCTTAGCTTTGCAATAACAAAGATAACGCATTCATTTATTATTGCCAATTAAATCATGCTTAATTCTTTCTGGAATTTTTTCGAGGAAATAAGTGTTTGAGATTTACTTCGTAATTTTTAATATAGATATTTTGAGTTTTTATGTATTTTTGCCTTCTCGCGAAGTGAGAACTGAATTAATTGAGAAATACTCAATCGTCTGTGAAAAACTGTTTCTTTTTTGTTTTGTTTGCTTAATTTCTTTTATTCATCATTCTAGCTTTATTATAGTATTTGAATAGAACATTTGGCAACGATTAGATAATTCCATTCTTTAAATGATATAAATTTTGTGCATTATGAGTTATAATAGGAACAAAATATATATGTTAACTGTTATATAATTATTGGATTATATAACAGTTAACTTAGTTTTCGTTATATAATTATTATATAAGTTAACTGTTATATAATTATTAATACTGTTAAGTGAATCTAGCGCCAGAGTGTTGCTATGGTAAACAAATACTAGAGTGAATTTTAAAGAATGCATTTAATCTATTGTGGTTTATGCGCTGTCGGCGAAGTAGATTTAACTCAATCCAATAAGTTTAAATGAAATGCAAGAAAAAATGCGTATAATTTAATATTCCAATACAAGGAAGTCATGTGGTGTACACATCAAATTTTTTTCATAAATGTACTTAAGTACTGTCAAACAACAATTGGCAGTTTGTGGTAATATGGAAGACAACATTTCAAATTCATTCGCAAGATTTGAGGAAGTTATATCTTCTGAGCCTTGTTGTGGGTCATTTAGAACATCTGCAAGCTTCTTACAACTGCTGTTCATATCATCCGTATTTATTAGCAAGTTCTTAAATGTCACATATAACACTTAACAGATTAGAGCAATGATTTAACTGCTCAGATCTTTCTGTCAAAGACAACAGAGTAGTAGTCTATTATTGCGTTTGAAAAGTTTATGCATAATTGATTTTCTTCCTACTAAAATGGGTTCTTTTCTGTTTTCGTAATACACTCTTTTGCAAAAAAATCGAAGCACTATGAAGTTGTGGTTGTTTTTAATGAAATTGAATATGTGTATAGCTCATACACAGATAATAAAATGATTTAAAAAATCAAGGTCATAGTACGTGTTCATGGCTCACAATCATCCATTGAGTGTTCAAATTAGTAGTTGGTTGAACCGCCCCTGATGGCAATGCATGCGTGAATTCGTCAAGGCAAGGAGTGGTAGAGGTTCCTAATGTCATCCTGCGACACATTCTGCCAGGCATTCATCAGTTGTCGCTCCAGATCTGTGATATTTTGAGGTGCCGGAATCTGGCGGCCTACTGTGCCCCAGCATGCGTGGTTGGTGAAAGGTCTGGTGACCTTGCTGGCCAAGGAAGAGTATCAATCACATGAAGACAGTCCAGAGATATGCAAGCGGTATGTGGCCTGGCATTATGTTGGAAAATGGCACCAGGATAACGTGCCATGAAGGGTAATGCAATCGGCTGCAGGATGGTATCAACATATCGTTGAGCTGTTAAAGATGTATGGAGAATGACTAAAGATGACCTGCTGTCATAAGAAGTAGCGCCCCACAACATCACACCATGGGTTATGGCTGTATGACTTTGTAAAACAAAGGTTGATTGTGACCGCTGGTCCTGTCCTCTCCAGATACAAACACGGTGGTCATCTGCTTCAAGAGTGAAGCGGGTTTCATCACTGAACACTCTGTGTTGCCAGTCTGATTGCAGCCATGATGATGATGATGATTGGCTGCGACACCATTCCAGATTACTCTGCCGATGTTGTGGGGTCAAAGTAAATCATCTTAAAGGCCTATGTGGGCGTAACCCCGCCTCAGACAAGCGCCGTGAGATGGTGGACGGTACCACAGGAGGTATAGATGTGGCTGTAGTGCGTTGAATAGTCGACAATGATACCGTTGGAGCGGTTCGAGCGTGGCAAACAATCATCCTGTCTTGCATCGCGTTTGTGATCCTTGACCTTCCAGAGCCTTTTCTTCAGCAATTTCCTTGTAGCAACCATTACTGCTAACATCTTTGTACAGCACTGTCTGTACGCTGCAGGCAGCGGACTTTTGCTCGGTATAACCACCCAGCTTCATGCAACCCTACAATGCGGCCACGTTTGAAGTCGTTTAGTTGTCTGTAAGGTCTTTTATATCATTGTAATTTCATCTAGTTGCTTCTTTACGAAATTACAATGGCAAAAAAGATAAATTTTCTGCCTCTGTAAAACCAGTAGATTTTATACTTTGCGAATTACGCACTAGAAATGCACGCTATGATTGCAATTCCTGTTCATTTGCCTTGAAACTTTGATCATTTGAGTGTTCAATCAAGATGTTTTTGCATACCAAATTTCGTCACGATTGCTGAAGTCCTTCTTGGTACTTCGATTTTTATTTATTTTTTTTTCCTTCCCGAAAGAGTATATAAACTTTATTAAAGTATGAACTGTATTCTGTAAATGTATTAAAGGTCTAATCAGTTCCCTTGCTTCTTCTTTAGCTTTTCTAAATCCGTTTTTTCAGAATTCTTTTATGTACATTTAATTTTGATATTTAATCTTAATTCACTTTATTTTAAGTTTTAATCTGAAAATTTAATAAAATTTATTATAGTGGTGTCATGAAATGTAAGAGATGAGTTAACAATAAACAAGAATGTATTTATCTTCAGTAATTTAGATTAGTAGGAAAAAACTGAATGTTTAATACTTCCATCTCCACTCTTTGTAATTTTCAGAATTCACCATTGTCATAGAAATGTTTGCAAAATAAAATTCCTAATTTTGTTGTTTTAAAGCTGAAGGTTGCTGAAATGAATGCGGAATGCAGATGAACGATTGTTATAAGTTCCTAATTGTCAATTCTGATCACGCTAATTTTTCTAATATATTCAAAAATCTTAAATGTTTATGAGTATTATATGCAAAGTTAAAATTAATTCTGCTTATTTTTTTAAATTCACATTACTTTTCTTGTAACCTTTATAGACACATGCATTTGTGAAGCGATCTGAAGCTGAAGATGTTGATTTTGCTGGTTGGGTTTGTCAGACGATGGGTCTAGATCCTTCTACTCCTACAAAAGTATCTCCAGATGGTTAAAGAGGACTTTCTGAAAACACTTTTTTCCTGGCACCAAAGAAGAAGTGGAATTCTTTTGTCTTCTTAGTCATATCTTTTGTAAATGTAATTGTTGTTGAAGATGTCGTGTATATGCAAATGCTGTATTTTCAAATTCATTTGCAGTTTACATCGTGGTGGAACATACATTTTTCATTTTGTCATTTGTTTTTCTGCATTTGTTGCTGTTTTGTTTCATATGGTTTCCAGTCAGTTATGTGTTATGTTAGTGTCTTTTATGTTATTACGTAAAATCGCCCCCTCCAATTATACGAAATGGTGTATAGTAATAGTTTCGAAAAGAATTTTTTTTTTTTTTTTTTTCCTGTTACTTTCTTATCAGTCAGTGCACATATTTTTCATTAACTCTAGTCACTGAAGTGTTTTAAGATTTTTTTTAACAATTTTTCTTATTGCTTTTAATTTTATCTTTATAGCTTAAAATAAATAAATCTTTTTTGGGGTTGGTATTTAAAATTTAAATATAATTTTATTGCAATATTAGGTTAAATTTATAACACATTTTTTCTTCATTGATTAATTACATGTAATTTGACTTTTTCGTGTGGTTTCTTTAATAAAAATCAAAACTCAGCATTTAATTTAAATGAAAGTAAAATAATGTTTAGTGATTTTAAAGTATGAATATGCATAAAATGTACACCAGAAATTTTTTTAGCTAATTTTTGCTATTATATATTTTATGATTTACATGTAGTTCTATGAAAAAATTATTACAACAAAATCCCTACCACCACCAATTTCTTATGGTTATGTAAAAATTATGACATATACCAACATTTGTGGAAATATATTTAGTTTAAATACCAGTAATAATATTTATGTTGAACTAGAAAGGATAAAAAAATCATTTTCTGCAAAACGGGAAAAATAAGCATAAACACAAATAAATAAGTGTTTTAAGTGTTTTGAATGAAATTAGTTATGTTTCGACCACAGCTTCCATTGTCTTATATCCAGGAGATTAAATTTTGCTAAAGATTTATTGTAATTTTCTTCCACAACTGAATGTACATTTCTTCCTGCTTTGTTTTTCAAACTGTTGATGTCTAAAATCCCACAAGGGTTCTCTGGCACACTGATCTCACTATGTTCAGTGGATGGATGTAATTGTAGTATGTAATATACTTTAGCTGCTTTTTTTTTTTTTTTTTTTTTTTTTTTGAGGTAATTTTTACAGAGCTCTGAGGTCTTGCATTTTTGTCTTGTCGTAGTAAAATTATCACTAATCAGATAAAGCCCATTTTGTACATCTCATGATGAAAAACAGATATTTTGAATTGTTGATGCTCAAACATGTATGCCTAGCTTCCAGCTCTTCTGGTTTTACCTGGAGACTCCTGTTTTTTCATCACATCACCTAGTTTCTCGGATTTTAATTTTTAGCCTTTATTGAGGAAAATGTTGCCTAGCAATGAATGAAATTTATTGAATTAAAGAATCTTAAATTAGGCACATTCCATTCTGCCACCTCTAATGATTTTCAGAATAATTTTTCTTATTAAATTTTAATCATTGGAATTGTATTATTCTCTTATTACATTTTATTGATTTTGGTTGTATTAAATTTCATTTGTCTCAATCTACGTAGACATTTATAGACTTTTATATGAAGATTCAAGTAATGTTTAATCAGTTAATATTTGTATTCAATTTTGCTTACTGCAATATATGTACATTACTAAGTTTAAACAATTTAACTAAACAGTTAGAAAAGAGTAAGAAAATTTAAAAGTGAAATTGAACAAAGAACATATAATATAGAATATCCAGTTAAGTGCTAATATATTTTACATCAGAACTGAATTACAAATAGTTCAGTAACCTGAATAATGCAGTATAAAGTGAGTTTAAATCAGTTTGAAGTTCCTTTTAAATGGTATTGCTGCTCAGTGTCAAATTCTCCCAGTCTTTTAAATTTTAAGGTTGGCTGCTATATTTTATATATCTATAATATTTTTTATACATTTTGTTGAAAGGTAATTGTATGCTATTTTCCAAGTAGACAGATTTTAAAAATCTTGTTAGTGATAAATTATTAGTTGCAGAATGGTATAAAAAGGCACATGTGTACTGAAATGAAAATATGAAAAAGGAAGTTTTCAGGAAACTGTAATTTCAGCATGACACAATCATTTAAAGTTTTTATGTTTATTTAAACTGGAAGAGACATTTTCTTGTAAGAAATAAAATATTTTAAATTGGAATTTATTACAGGAGAAAAATGTGTTGCTGTATCTTCAAGTTATTGATATTCGTAAAAAAAAAAAAAAAAAGAAAAGAAAAGAAACCATTCCTTTTTAATTTGCTTCAGATTACTTTAAGAAATGTTTCTTAAAAGTAGTACTTGAATTACAAATACGTTCAACATTGCATTTTAGATTCTCTTCTAAAAATACATTTGAAATAATTGAAAAACTTTTATTAAATTCATCTTCTTCACACCCCCTTAAATTATACATTGAAAATTTCTACTGTAAATGTAATTCTAAATAGCTTAAGTTTTGGTTTCGGAAAGATGATGGAGCTGTAAGATTTTTTTTTTTTTTTTTTTTTTGGTGGTGTAGCTTGATAGCTAATTCAAATCTGTCTGGAAGATTAATGAATTATAATATATATGCAGAATGGAAACTGGTATGATAATCATTGATTGATGAATCTTTGGTCATCTAGTTTCTCGAATACTTTGTGTGTGCATATATATTGCCTGTAAAATGTCAAATCTAATTAAAATTGCTTTCATTTTAAATTGTAAGGTTTTTTTTCATACAAACTTATTAAAATTTACCCCAAGTATTGGGTTTGCGGGAAGTTTGCATTGGTCTCAGCCTTACAAAGTTTATTTGCATGCTTTTATTTATATTTGTTCAGTTTCTTCATTCTCACCTTTTTTTTTTTTTTTTTTTTTCTGTTTCAAAGTATGATTTGAACATGCATATAAGGATAACAAAAAATGAGTTTGTTGCCTTGTGAATCCTCTCATGTTATGTCTGTAAATGGGCTTTGTACAAAAATAATCCTCCCTGATAATCCTTCCTCCTCTCCCAGAAAACTGTTAAAATTGAATATACGTGCAATTTAGCATTTTTTTATCTCATTTGCAGTATCAAGATATTAGTGAATGCCTGTTCATATTCATATAACTTAATTCATTATGATTCTGAAGTAAATAATTTTATATTCTTCTGCTCTTAATTTATATAGCATATTTGTAGATTGCATTTTTTTAAATTTTAATTTTGAATTAACTTCTAAAATGGTGTACATTATATGTAAGTAGTTTTTATGAATTGTTTTTACAATAAATTAAAAATACTATATTTTAACAGCTAGTACTCATTAACCCCATTTTTGATGAACAGATGACTGATTGGTATATTTCATTGCTGATTAGATAGACATTTGATTATCTATAATTGTGATTTCTGCAAAAATGTATTTCTGGTTATCACATTAATGTTTGGAATGCATGTCTGGAACATTTCATGTGTATTTCTTCTAGGTGTCTCTTATGGCAGTTTTGCATTTCTACTCTTTATACCTAAATTTTTGACGCCTGATACTTATGTATGAGTACCTATGTGATACCGCAATTTTACATACTTGTTAGATGTTAAACTTTGTATTTTTCTAGTATGAAGAAATATATAACTAGTAATTGTTCTAGAATGTCTGTTAGTTGCATCTACAAATGGAAATGAATATATCTATTTAAACTGGTGAGGATTTCATTGATTATACTACTATGTTATTTATATATGTTACTCCTATACAAAAGGAGAATCATAAATGCTTAAAATTTTCAAAAGTTATATTTTATTTAGCCTTCTCAGTTTTTTCATATTTTTTTAAGTAAATAATCTTTTGGCTTTTATTTTCTGTGCTTTATTTCTTAAAGTACTTATAATATTTACATCTGAGATAATAATCAGGTGCTTAACAAAGGCCTCCATAATGTATATTTTATGATTTATTTTTCTATTATTTCAAAACCAGGCTAAAACCCATTATTTTTTTCAAACAGTATTGTTATGTTCCTTTTTAGTATATTAATGTTTTAATGAAATATTTATACTCCTTTTTCATATTTTAAATGTTTGCATTTTAAATAATCAAACAAATCTGTATTGTGCATGCTGTGTAATTATTATTTCATTGCTTTTTCAAAATGTTAATGATTTTATTTATATGAAATGCTTATACTGTTTTTCATTTTTTAAATGTCTGTTTTTAAATAACTCAGTAATAGTATAGTTTATGCTACAGAATACCATATAGATTGCATACTATGTACATTATTTTACTGTGATCTGATTTTTTAATATACCAGGTATCTGAGGTAATTTTTTTCTTTTAAGTCAAAATGAAAGGTTCCCCCCCCCCTAATATTTGAATAGCACTATCTCTGATTTTTCACATTTCATTCTCACATTTTTAAACAAGTGGTTTTTTTCTTCCTGTATTTGAAAAATATGGATGGAACTGTGGAATAATATATGAAGTGAAGTAGACTTTTTAAATGGTATAAACTTCAAAATAATTGTGTTTTTGGCAGCTATGTGTTTTATTGTTTTGCATATAAATTCTTTTTTTCACTTCCAGCACAAATTTCTCTGTAAATACATATGTGATGTTATTGCTGACTATGGGATTTTAGTATTCATATACTGTTCCCATCTTTCAAACTTGCTTAATTTGACTTTATATGGTTATAACGTTAAAAGCAAATTTACTTAAATGAACTCTGTAAAATTATATTCGTATACTTCATTTTAAACAGATTTTCGGAAATGATATGTTAAAATATAAACAGTACTTCCCCCATTTTTATAACATTAATAATAATAACAAGACATTATCAAAAAATATAATTGATTACTGTTGATTCAGTTGTGTTTTATTTAAAAGTATTATAAAATTTATGACTAGTAAAGCAATACTGAAACCCATTATAGTCTAATGTTTGTGTCTGCAGTATTGAGTGAGTAGTTAAAGTGACAATGTGATTTTCATTCACAAAATCATACTGTGATCTCCTTGTAGCAAACAGTTTTAAATATGTGTACTTTTGAAAAGTAATGTTAGACATAAAAGTCTGTAAATGAAGATGATGAAACACAAACCATTTCCTCACTAAATTTTAATGTGGTGGCCAACTTGCTGGCCTGCAGCCGCATACTACTTATGAGGTCCTTTTCTTTGGCCTCTGAAAAGATTATACAGTACAAAGTCTGTAATCTGGATGTCCATTATCCGAAATAATCTGTAATCCGAACCTCAAAGCCACAAACTTTTTTTTGTATGCTTTACGCATGCGCGTTTAATGCTACTCATGCACGTTTAGCACAAAAAACGAAGCAAATTAAACAACTTACATTGAAAGAAATGTTTA